CGAGGTCCACTGTCCAGGAAGACGGGGCCGGAACCCTTAAGCCTTGCCCCAAGCCCTGCATCCAGGAAACAGATTTGAGCCTGGCCTCCTGTTTCCTCGAAAACAGAGCAGCAAGCCTGCTGGGTAACACCTTCGACTGTTATCTAAACTATACAGCGGTAGAGAAGTCTGCCTGCTCTTGTATTTTTGGAAAGTGTGCCCTAGGATTAATATGTCTTCCTTACATGCTTGAGAGAATTCACTGGTGAGTCCAAATGTGTCTGGAGTGTTCTTTGTGGAAAGTTTTTACTTGCAAATTCCATATAATAAATAAGGATAGCATTTAAGGAATATAGGGTTACTTGGATTTTTTATTTCTTCTTTGGTCAGGTTTGGTCATTGGTAAGGTTCAAGGAATTTCTCCGTCTCAACTTTAGTTGCTCCAATAGTCTCCTGCTTACCCTCAGGACAGGGAAAGCCAACGCCAATTTCCAAGGTGAGCCTGGGTAGTCTGTCATCTGTGCTTTGATCCCCATCAGTACAGCTGCAGGTTTATCAGTTTCACTGCTCTTATCAAAAGACCAGCCTTCTGTGTCATGGATGTTCGCTGCTGACCTGGGCAGAACATCAGGGCAGTCCTTGGGCTCATCCCATGGTTCCTTCCTTTCAAGAATCTGCATCCTTCACTCCCTGTTGTCTCCCAGCTGAAAATAGTAAACTCATATACTTTGTCTAGTTTTCTAGTGGTTTAGAGTGGAAGAACGAGTTCTGTAGGAATTATTCCTTCATGGGCAGAAGCCGAAACAGACTTTCAGCTGCACCCTCACTCAGTCCTCTTAACTATTAGAGCAGTTAAGTTTGGCGTTCAAGTAATGAAAAGACATTGTCTCCTAGAGCTTATAGCATTAGGGCAGTGGTTCTCAACCTTCCTAATGCCGCGACCCTTTAATACAGTTTCTCATGTTGTGGTGACCCCCAATTTCATTGTTACAAATTGAACATCATTAAAGCATAGTGACTAATCACAAAAACAATATGTAATGATATATGTGTTTTCCAATGGTCTTAGGCGACCCCTGTGAAAGGGTTGTTTCACCTCCAAAGGGGTCGCGACCCACAGGTTGAGAACCGCTGCCTTAGGGGGTAGCGTGATCTTAGTAAATTTTAGTTCCGCCTCATCATCAGGGCACAGGAGGTGCGCTCCCTCTGCTCTACACTTGTGGCTTGTGGGTTCAGGCTTTGCCCACTCCCGCCCACCATGCCTGCACCGCCTAGAAGCCACAGCCAGACACGGGATGGCTCTCAGAGGAAGAGGACATGTTCTCTCTATATGACACTTTTTATCAGCAGTAAAACACTTGTCATGTTTGACCTGAATCAACCATGTAGAAGTCAGTATGTTTTTATGTGCCTTTTTTCTCTCCCAATTTTCAGATGGTGAGCTAGTATTTAAATAAAATCTAGGGCCCATGTGGTTGCTGCATTCAAAGAACTTCACTTCATGATTAAAATAAATTTAAAGCTAATTCCAAATAAGCCTTGAAGGCTATGTAAAAGGTCAGCTGGTTACCTAGAGAAACCTGTCCTGCATCCCACCCTTTCCCCAGGTCCCCTCATCTCTCCATGTTCCAACTTCTCCCTATTGTCAACCTACAGTTTTCCTTTCCTTTCTTGTCTCCCCTATTTTCCTCTTTTACATAAATTCTTTATCTCCTGTTTTAGGTTCTCTCCCCACTGGTAAAGCTGCTGTGTACAACAGGGCACACGAAAGTGTCTGTATGTGTCGTAAAATATGTGAATAATCACGCGTAATTTTTTTTCTTCTGTTACACTGATTTCTATGTGCACCTTTTCTGTTAGTGTCCCAGGAAAGAGATCTGCAAGCAATGTTTGGGTTTTCCTTTTCTTCACTGTAGTGTATTATAGCATTATAACAAATTAAAAAGCCTTTAGAAAGTAACAATTGTTCCACTTACAACCACTTGTACTAGTTACCCAGTTCGTTAAACTTACATTTACAATGTTTTCCTTTTCTCAGAGTAACATACTTACAAATTTCAAAATTCAAATAGTATTTCTAGATTTCTAACAAAAAATAGCAACTTCCCACACCACACATTCCCACCCCAAATTCCTTCCTTAACTATGAAGTTTCTGATGTGATGTCTTTCTTTTCCAGTTGTGGGGATTGCCTGTGGACATCCTGACCTAGCAGATGAGGGCCTAACGCGCCGCGCCCGCGCCCCCCCCCCCCCCCCCCCGCCCCCGCCCCCGCAACTTTTCCTAGACACTGTTAGGTCAAAGGAAAATCACTTTCTCCACCGTCTAAGTTCTTCTGGCTGAGCTAAGAGTCAAATTCTCGTGAGGCAGATTAATACGCAGAGCGGATGATGTGGGGATGCCATAAGAATAGGAGACCCAAAGGTGCATTGGGTAGTTGAGGTTTATTTGCCATTTTGAACAAAGGAGGAGGCAGGGGTGTGGGATTTCAAAGGGGAAGCTGGTCATTCACCGGTAAACACATTCTTTATTGGGGTGCTGTTCTGCTCTGAGCAGGTTTTTCTACCTGGATCCCTTCAGGCAGCGAAGGGGAGGACCAGAAGTTCTTTCTGGGTCTTTTGCTCCTTAATAAATGGCTTAAAATCAACATCCCAGGAAGCATATTTTGGGGTGGGAAAACGTTGGTCCCCCTCAACACACGTTTATGAATACAGATAAAATCACCTCCCATTTCTCAAAAAATGGTTATAGCATCCTTTCGATTAACTTACCATTCGCTATTTACCTTATTAAATAGTGTAATCATTACAGATAACTGAGACCTATTTATGTGTCTATTACTTTTTGTCACCAAACTCTACAGATCTTTTGAAATATTCAAACACATCAAGTATTTGCCGGGTCACACTTTTCCTGGAGTCATGTCTCCAGGGCCTCCTGCTCCCATCTAGATGGTCCTCAGCCTGCATCCTGGGACCCTGCTGCTCCCCCATCGGTTCCTGCTCTCCAGGCCCCAGAGAGTCCTTTCTTGACTTCTTCATTTTGGAGCATGTCCTCCAGCATGTCTCTGGAATGAAGTATGTGGTGGGTAATATTTTTGAGCTGCATGCCTTGAAAACATCTTTATTCTCGCTCCCACTTAACTAAGTCTCATTGAGAGTAGAATTCCATGTTAAAATTAATTTCTTCAGAATTTTGAAGAAAATGCCTCATTGAATTTCAGCTTCCTGAGAGTCTATGGAGAATTTCCGTGCCTTTCTGATTTCCAGTGCCTTAAGTGCGGCCCTTTTATTTCTTGTATGGAAGCTTTCTAGGTCTGACATTGTGTGATGATGTGCCCTGGTGTGGACTTTTTCAGGTTTGTTGTGCTGGGCATTTGGTTTGACCTTTCTACATAAGAACATGTCTTTACATCTGGCAAGTTTTCTTGAATTATTTCATAAGTAATTTCCTCATTTTCTCTGTTCTCTTTCCTGTAATTGCTATTTTCAGATGTTGAACTTCTTAATCTTGTAATTTTCTTATGTTTTCTCTTTTCCCATGTCTTTTTCTTTTTGTTTTACCGTCTAACATATATCAATTTTATCTTATTTTTATCAACTTTTGCACTTAAGTTATATCTTCCTGAATTTTCAAGAGCTCTTATTTTCTGAATGCTTTTATATATCTTTACTTACTGATGTAATATTATCTTCAGAGACTGTAGATAATTAAGTTTTCCATGACATTTTTTCTTCCAGTTTTTTTTTTTTATTTCCCCCTGTCTTCCTGGAATGTCTGTTGACCTTTGGTCATCTGTGTATATTGAGGAGGGAGGCAGAAAGGTTTGGAAGCTCTGCAAAGTGGATGAGGACTGCCCAATGGCAGGACTCACTTAGCAATGAGAGGGGCGTTGGGCACCTGCCTCCCTTGCCTCCACTGTCCATGAGTTCAAACCTCCTGCCTGAAGTCTGGATCCTCCCTCACATCACCGAGTCCCTGCTTCCATCTCTTTCCTAGGTTTGCTCTGTCTGTCCAGAAGTCCTCTTCTCATCCTGTCTCCGATCCCATCCTTCCTCCTGGCTCAGTTCACACGTCATTTCCTTACCACCTTCTTCATCACACTTTACAGGCCTTATTCTAGGCTTCGCTTGTTTTCTAAACTTAATATTTGTCTCCCCAACCACCCTGTGCGCTCCGTAGGACTAGAGACCATCTCACACACTTCTTGGTGTAACCCTAGGCACCCAACCAGTAATAAGTGTGGCGCACGATTTGATTTTACTTAGAAAAAAATATATCAACAGGAAATGAAAACCTGGTATGCCAAATGGAGAGGTCTCTTCCCAAATCGCTTCATGCCTGCATGTGGCGTCACTTCCATTCGCTAGTTCCTTGAGTGCTGCACCTGCGAGTGCTTTGGACTCCGCAGGAGCAACGTCCCACGGGTTCCTGCTCCCTGGGGCTCGCGTTCCTGACGCGGCGCACGAGCGTGGGTTTGGGATGCACCCTCACTTGGTGCTATTGATAGCTGGTTTGTCAAAATCAATGAGACTGGTTTCCAGGCTATTTTTCTGCCATCACGCTTGGCTGCCAGGATGTTCTCTTGGCTGTAGGCAAGTGGGTGGCGTTGCAGGCGGAGGAGGGGGGCTGTGCACAGTGCGAAGGCTGCCCCGCCTCGGAGCCCCAGGGAGCTCGTCCCGAAGGTGAAATGAGGCCGAGACGTGGCCTTGGAGTCCACACTCGGTCCCTCGAGACCACGCGCTGCAGGACCAGGGTCCCGCTCACCTCGGCGCCCGCCCCAGTCACGGAGCCCCCAACCCGCGCCGGGAGCTGTCACAGCGCGGCCCGCGCGGGGACCCACAGCCCTGCTCCACGCGCGGCCCGGGAGCGCCGCGGATAGCCAGGACCCCAGACGCCGCTCTCCGCCGCGCCGCGCGGTCTCCCGGGCAACTGGGGCGGCGCCTGCGCACCTCGCTTCCCCGGCGCCTCGGCCCCGCCCCGCGCCCGGGCGGTCCCTGGAGCGGAAGTCTCCGAGCGGAAGCGGAAGTGCGCGAGCGGCCGCGGCGGGATCGCGGCTTCGCTGGCCGGTCTCCGGCTGAGCTGGCGCGTCTCTAGGTAGGGCCGGGCCTGCGGCGCCCTCGCCGTGCGGCGTCCACGGTTCTGCACCGTGGCGGCCGCCCCTTCCGTGAGCCCGGCGGCGGGCCCAGGCCGGGTCCAAGTTCCCGCGGCCCCGCCGTTCCCCTCCCGGGCCCGCCGTCCGTCGCCTACCCGCCCCCCGCCCCCCGCCCCCGCCGCCGTGCTCCGGCCCCTCGGGCGACCGGTGCCGGTGTCCTCGCGGCCCGGCTGTCGCGTCACCCTCTGCGCCGCCGCCGCCGGTGCACCTCCCCCGTCGGGCCCGAGCCTCCGCCCTCCGGCCCTGGACCCTCGGGTACCGAAGGGTGACGGCTCGCCGCCCAGGAACGTGCGCGAGGGCGGCGTCTGCGTCGTCCGGGAGGGGTTTTGGGCCGCGTTTGGATAGTCGGTGTGGGGGTGGGAGGGAAGGGGAGCCATCCCGCCCCGCGGAGGAGAGAGTGGGTGTCAGGTTGAGGCTGGACACTCAGGAAGACGTGGTGGTCGCGGGTAGAACCGGGAAAAACCGGGGGTGGGGGCTGGAGGCGAGGGGCCCCCGGAGAGGGCGTGCAGAGCTCTAGGCTCACCCCGCGGTTTCCCTAGCAGCGGTGCGGAGATTGTATGGCTGTCAGCTTCCTTTTTTAAAAGTTTTCCTGCCCTTTTGCTTCTCCCAGGCCAGCGTCCCCATTCCTCGGGCCGGGTGTGCCTCCTCGCGTGCCCGTCCACACTTCTCTCCTGCGGGCTTAGAGCGCGTTGTTAGAACTGACAGCCAGTCCGCAGATCGTAAGCCAGAGCCTGCGGAAGTCTCCGATGAATCAGTGTTTTAGCTTTCGCTCCTGAATGTAAAATTCATAGTGGATTCTTATCCTGAAATCGGGATAAACGAGGCCTCCGTGTTGACGGGTCTGCACACATGTTCCTCTTCTGTGACAGTGGTTGTGGTTCATTGGCCCTTGAGGGGGATTGGGGAACTCAGGTGGGGGCCCCCAGGGGCCCAAATCTGGGTTGCCCTCCCTCTTGATCATTCTGTCAGGGCCCCAGGGACTGGGAGAACCTTCTGGAAGGACAGATCTCTGGACTGACATGCAAAGTGTTAGGTGTTAGAGTCCTGGTGAAAGGAATGCAGACTCAGAGGCAGGTGGGTTCCAGTCCAGCTTCACCGTTACTGCCTGTGACACTGCTGGCCCGGCCAGCTCTTCCTGCCTTTGCGGGCAGAAGTGCCTTTTCCGAGAGTCTGCACAATACTGGTAAGTGCCAGAGGGACTACAGGGGGTGTTTGCTATGGGGCTTTCTGATTGTAGAAAGTAGCCCTGTTCTTTGCAGAAAATTCATAGAACAAAGAAACATTTTAAGTGTACGATTTTACGCGTCTTGACATATGTACACACACACCTGTGCTTCTTCTTCTTGAACGACTCAGCCTTTGCTTCCCTCTTAAAGATCCAGATCTGAGGCAGGGACTCTCCGGTTCACTGCCTTGTCCGCAGCTGCCAGCACAGGGCCCAGAGCACAGTAAGCCCGAGCTGAATGCACACTGAGCACGTGCGGGAATATGGACCCCATGCCTTTGGTTCATCTGGGGGACCATATGGTCTCTCTACCCTCCCTAGTCTTTTGCAGTAGGAAGTAGGACTCTGTACCCTCTAGTCTTGGGGTTCTTCCAAAATGGGGAGGCTGTGGGATACCGGCAGCCAGTCCACCAGCATCCACAATAGCCCCTCATCTGCCTCAGTCTCGCTGGCCTCCATCCCTTCTCCACGACAGGCAGGGCAGTGTTTCTGAGATGCAGGTGCTTTCCCCTCAGGTGAAGTGTAAGCGCCTGTGTGGTCTGCGCCCCTTTGCTCTTGGCCCTGCGCACTCAGCCTCAGCTCACTCCCGTTCCCTTAAACAGAGCTTCTAGCCACACTTAGCTTTTGGGTTTGAGGAAAACACATAAAGTTGCAGGTTAAACTATTTAATAGAACAGATATTTTAAGCACCTTAGAAACACCCATCTATATAATAAAAGCCTAAGCAACCGTTATGACCAGTCGATTGCTCAACCAGTTGACCAGTTGCTATGATGCACACAGACCACCAGGGGGCAGACGCTCAACGCAGGAGCTGCCCCCTGGTGGTCAGTGCGCTCCCACAGCAGGAGCACTCCTCTGCTCAGCCAGAAGCCAAGCTCATGACTAGCAAGTGCAGCTGTGGTAGCAGGAGCCTCTCCCGCCTCCATGGCAGCGCCACTGAGCGGCAGCAATGGCAAGCACAGCGGGCCGGCCGGGATGAGCAGGAGCGGGGAGGTGCCGCGCCCTAGCTTGGGCTCCTCCCTGGCCGCTGTCACTTCGGGCACTGCTACAGCCCTCGGATCGACCAAAACCAGCAGTCTGACAACCCCCAAGGGGTCCCAGATTTCGAGAAAGAGCAGACCAGGCTGAGGGACCCTACCACTGCATGAATCCGTGCACTGGGCCTCTAGTTTAATAATAAAAAAGACACCTTATGGACTTTAAAGAATTTATCCCTCACCACTCTTGCTTCAGGCCTCGCCTGCTCTCCTGTCTCCATCTGGACACTCAGGATGGCCATCGTGGGTCCCGGACCTGTCCTGGGTCTTCCTACTGCGTGTTCCCCCCATTCACATGCTTTGCCCTTCTCTGCCCTACAGTTAAGTCAAGTGCTTGTTGCCTGTTGGACATTTTCCTGCTAGAGTGTAAGCCACTGGAGGGCAGGGCTGTCTGTCTAGCTCAGGGGTGGGCAAACTTTTTGACTCGAGGGCCACAATGGGTTCTTAAACTGGACTCAGAAGAAGAAGCTGCGGCCGTGTTTCCCGACGTTGCCATGTTAACACTGCTGCTGGTGAAGGAGCGGAGGGGAGAGCAAGAGAACCCTCCGCTCTTTCGGCTCTGCGGGCTGGATAGAACAGCCGAACGGGCCGGATCCGGCCCGCGGGCTGTAGTTTGCCCACGGCTGGTCTAGCTCCTTGCTCCGTGTCTGCTGTCACGTTTGCTGAAAAGCTGCTCAGTGACTGAGTAAACCAGATTTATGTTCAGATAACTGCCCTAGTGGTGGTGAGGACAGCTGAGTGCTAACGAGGTACAACTACAGACTGACAGCCTGTTGGAGAAGAATTACCAGGATGTGCTTTTCCTTCGCCTCAGCAGTTTCACATCTAAGATTCATCCCAAGGAAATGAGATTTTTATACATGGATGTGACTCACATTCTTATTTATGGCTTGCAATATAGGAGATGGCATAAATGTCCAGCAGTAGGGTTGAGAACTCACTCACACCATACTGTGCACCCATTAAAAATTACACCATAACAGGTCAACCTTCTGACTTGGCAACATGTATCACCTAATAAATTAAGACACAAAATAGGTTATAGAGAAGTATGATCCCAATTTTTAGAAATATATACTCTAAAATGTTTATTGTCCTTATTTTTGGAAGATGAGGCTATGAGTGGTTTTTTTCTTTGTTCTATGAGTTTCTGCAAAGAACATGGCTACTTTATTTCTCACGGCTACTTTTTCAGAAAAAAATTTTTTTCCAATATTAAAAAGTAATCTAGCTTATAAAAATCATAAGTATAATACACCCTCATATTTATATGGCTTTATTTTAAGATAATTTAAGAATTTTGGACTGGGCAGATTTTACTAAACCCGGAGGCAGCTAATGAGAAATGTTTAATGAATAAATTTATAATCTAAATGAAATCACATCACACCAGTTTATGAAGTCGGTCTTGTAGAGCTCACTTTGCAGATAAGAAGAATGAAGCATATAGAATAAGGTAACTTGCTCAGAGTTTCATTGCAAGGAAGTGGAGGTTGGGCTTAGTGTGGTTTTATTACAGAGCTTTTCCTTCTGCCGTCAGTACTGCCCAGCGTCTGCCCCGTCTTCCAGGATACAGTGTGCAGGGCTCTGCCACCAGCTTCTGAGCGTCTGCGTCTTCTTTGCACCAGTCTGACTCTTGGCACCAGTGGTTATGGCAGCTGTGGGAGGTCTTCCAGGGCATCCGAGTCTGGACATGTACCTGGGCATAGCCAAGTACATTGTGGTAACTTCAGGCTTCCCATTTCTTGTGTACGCTTCTTACTCTGACAATTAAAAAAGTAAGGAAGACTTTATTCCAGACTTGCCATAGGAGGTAGAGCAACTTCAAATAGGGCAGAGCATCTGCCAACAGGCAGAGTGAGGGATCAACAAGAATCGGGCAGGGGATTCTCTCTCTACACTGACTCAGTAGGATTCTTGAGTCAACTGGACTGGGCAGGGCCAGCAGGAAGCCTAAGGTTGTGCCTTGTGGAGAAGAGGGCCCTGGGGAGCCTGCTTGACGTTGGTCCAGGAGAGTGTCTATCAGTGCCCAGTGAGCCTGTGGACAGCCCTCAGACAGGTGGAGACCACCTGAGTGGCAGCTGCCCTTAGCTTACTTGCTCATCTGGTTGTCTGTGGATCCATAAATACTCAGAAGACATCGAGCCAACACTGTCCCACAAGCTGCCCTGGGACAATCCTCCTGGAACCCTCAATCCCTGTTCACACCCTTCTGTGTACGGATTCCCCATCAATTGCTTTTATTTTGGTGGGGTGAACGGGGAGGAAAGCGAAGAAAGCAGACTGTAGATGCCCCACATCAGCCCTGGGGGGCTTCCCTAGGTGGACCAAGGCCCAGCCAGCATGTGGTCATTGAAGACGCAGAAACGAAGCAGGGAACGAAAGGACTGATTCATCCTAGTCATCCAGGGCCACTGATGAACATCCACCTGGCACCAGGGTGTACCTCTGGCTTTCCTCTTCACTCCTGATCACAGACCAGACACTGGTGTTGCTTGTTTGTAGATTTTGGGCTTGTGGAGACAAATTACTTAATAAAGATAAGTGCAAGGTTATGGTTCGATTGCTCTGTAGAACATGAACCTGCTTTGTCTCCAAATTGAAAGGCTTGATTTAGTCAACTCCAGCTCTTCCGATGCCCTCTGCACGGTGGGGCTCTGACACAAGGGGGTTGGGGGTGGGGGGCAGAGGGGAAACACTGTCCATGTCTTAAGGGGCTACAACCACTGGGACTGGCTGTCCTGCAGATGCTGCTCTGCGCATGGGATGTGTCCAATGGCTGGCTCTGAGTCCATTTGTCCCTATGTCCGGATTGACCCCGGACCTGTCGGTGCAGGTTGGGCTGATATGTTTTTGCTGAGGCACGCTTCTCTTCATTTCTCTGTTTGCTGAAAGATTGTGAATGAAGGAGCTTCTGGACTTGTCTTCTGTCCACTTCTTCATTTACTGCAACCCAGTACCTGGGATTGGTCTGGCTGTCAGGACAATGAGGCTGTTCCTGGCGGTGAGGCCGCCTCTGGGGTGGCTCCCTGTGTGCCTGTGGCTGCTTTTCTGTGAGATGTCCGGCACTGGTGCTGCTTGAGGACATGGGCCTACTGGTTACTCTCCCTCTGCCCACACTTGGTGATTCCTGACCTCTCTTTACACACCTGCCCTTTGATGCCTTCATTTATTCACTCACAAATACTGGCCCTCGCACGGCAGACACTGCTGGTGCCGGGTGTGACATTGACGTGTGCCCTGGAGGGGCCCACATGGAGAGATCTGTCTCCCAGGCTGTGTTTTGGGCAATATGATTCCTACCGAAGGAGACATAACTTCTGTTTTCCTTCTTGGCAGTGAAAATTTTCTTATAGTTTACAGGTAGAATAAATTAAATTATATATACATGTATGTATTTAAATAATCTTTAATGGTAGAGAATGAAAAACACCTCAGTATTACTCTTACCAATTTAAAAACAAAAAAAATGTTAAAAAGGTAATGGCCACAAAATAATCTTTTTTAAAAATATTTTTTAATTCTCACCAGAGGATATGTTTTTTATTGATTTTAGAGAAGAAGGGAGAGAGAGAAAGAAATACCCATTGGTTACCTCCTATACACCTCAACCAGGGATTGAACTCGCAACCTGGTGTGTGCCCGGCCGAGGAATCAAACCTGCAACCTTTTGATGTATGGGGCTACGCTCCAACTACTCAAGCCACCCTGCGGCCAGGGCCACAGAATTATCTCTTTAGCATTTCATTTCCCACCACTCTGCCTGTGTTGACAGGTGGTGGTGTGGTGTGTGACATATTGAGCTGAAAATGGAAGGCCCCTCTGCTGTCACAGGTTCCCAGATCTTTGTGTCTCCGAATTTTTCTTTGCAAATGCCACACAAGAGCACATTGTAAGGTAACATTCCTGAGGTAGTTTGTGATTCAAAATGGGAGAGATTGGCAGTGTGAAAAACAGGAAAAAACTGTGTGTGTTTAATTAAAATAGTGAGCTTTTCATTGCTGGGGTGAGAAAAGAGGAAAAACATTTGAATGAAATCAAAGCAGAGCTGAGCCCGACTCTGTAAAATAAAGAGGAGAGTGTTTTGGAAACTCAGTGTTGTCACTTGCAGTTTTAGTAGAAAAATGCTTGAAACAAAAATCCTTTTTGTTGGTGAGGGAAGGCAGCCAGCCCAAGCATGGTGGGCAGCTGCACAGATGGGGGCCCTGCCTGTGGGAGCTGGGGTGAGGGAAGGGTCTGCTGCGCTCCTGGCTGCTGGCGGGCCTCAGGAGGGGGGTCGGCAGCACCCAGCCTGGAGCCTGGTGAAAGAATGGAAACCTGGTCACACTCACAGTTTGTAATTTACTTTTGCTTCCTCATTGTCAACAAACCTGACAAGCCTGCTCTTTTCAAAGCTAGGCATAGAATAATGGCCTGGAATTTGAGAAGTCTTAACACCCTTTCCAGACTTGTACCTAGCTATCGCCGGGGTGTAAGAAGAAAACCCCTCTGCTTCAGAAATATGTTGTAACCTTCCTAGATGTGGGATCCATGCCCGGAGGTCCGAACTGCAACCGCCTTCTCGTTGCGATAATGACCAAAAGTTGCATTACTTGATAATGCTCCCAAGATAAATATGCCTGTTTGTCTAGCAAGAGCTCTCCAGTGGTCTTGGTGTGTGGATGCATGTGTTCCATTATATTTAATAACTTAATGAGCAAGACCTCTACATTTCAACATAAATGTGTGTTATAGCCATTCAGTTTTTATGTATTTCTCACTTAATGGCTATTAAACAGATAACTTCAGCTTCTGATGGGGCCACTGCCCACCAACAGGCAGTTCTCAAACCATCATCAGTGCCCGTGCTTCTTCCCTGATAATTGACTTACCTGCAGCGTCTTCATTTGTGATGTCAGTGTCAGGTGGAGATGGAGGTGTACGGGGCGTGCGCAGCTGTGCGGTGGGAGCGAGCGCCCTGTGAGGAGCCATCGCGCCGGGTGGGGTGCAGCCAGTGGTGGCCGCTGTGCTCAGTCCTAAGCCCGGAGAGGCTCGCTTGTCCTGTGTTGCTTTTGCATAATGAGGATTTTTGTTTTGTTTTATCAAAGGACACTCAGCCCTGATGACTTACAGAAAACCAAAGTGAAAAAAGCAGGCCATTAAGATAAAGATGTCATCATGGAGTTTTTCTGACCTCAAGTCATGCCTTATATTACGTCTTTTTTAATAGAAGGGCAGCTTAGGACACAATGCTCTGCTTGTTGTTGTTTTAGACTTTGAATTCTAACTCTTTGAACTAACTGCATTGTATGTTTTCACATTTTAGAAAGGGCAGTTTTCCATTCAGACTTATTCACCATCTCAGATGTTAGACACATTTTGCCTTAGTGAACATTTAAAAAATATATTTTTTTATTGATTTTAGAGAGAGAAAGGGAGAGGGATAGAAACATTGATGAGAGAGAAACATAGATCGGCTGCCTCCTGCACGCCGCCTACAGGAGACCGAGCCCACAACCCAGGCATGTGCCTTGACCAGGAGTTGAACTGTGACCTCCTGGCCCCTGGGCCAGTGCTCAACCACTGAGCCACATCAGCTGGGCCATAGTGAACTTTTATGTACTGTATTTGTTTACTTGAGGTTGGAGGAGGCTGACTTAACTTACATGTGGATTTCTGACTGCAGGTGGGCAGTGCCCCTGACACCAGTGTTGTTCAGGGCCAGCTAGTTCTCTTTTCAACACCTTTATTGAGGTGTAATTGACATACAGGAAACTGCACAGGCTGAGTTTACAGGTAACACGTGTTTACCCATGATATCATCACTACAATCAAGGTAATGAATGGAACCATCACCCCAAAAGTCCCCTTCGTAAATCCCGCCCTCTAACTTGCCCCGACCCAGATGCTCTCTGCCACTTCAAATGAGCTCAGCTCTCAGTGAACCAAAAATTTATATTCAAATGGAATCATAGTGTGTACTTTTTTTTTTTTTTTAATCTGGCTTCTTTCAACTCAGCAAAATTATTTTGAGAAATAGCCATTTTTGTTTTTAGGTTTTCAGAGTTAACTTCTATTTGGGTTCCTAGATGGAAAATATTACTTTTTTGAAAACTGTTAGCCTGTTTTGAATCCATTTGAGAAATCTCTTGAATAATAGTCTTAGCTAAAATCTTAAAAAGAAGCTACACTATGTTATCTTTGAAAAGTCCAACTCAAGTAATTTACACTTAGCTAAAGTTCCTCACGTGTTTTTATGGAAAACTTTAGGCTCCTGATAGAGAATGGCTATTCACCATTGTCTGTGTGGGCTTTGTAAGGTGCCATAATAACTGGTTTCCTTTCCTTTCCTTTCCAGATCCTTCTGGGAGGTCAGTCATGGGTGTGAGAGGCTTGCAGGGGTTTGTGGCAAGCAGCTGCCCACATGTATGTACAACAGTGAATTTCAAAGAGCTGGCCGAGCAGCACCAAAGCAAGCATCCCGGATGCACGCCCACCATCGTGGTGGACGCCATGTGCTGTCTCAGGTACTGGTACACCCCTGAGTCATGGGTTTGCGGTGGCCAGTGGAAGGAATACTTTTCTGTCCTGCGAGATTTTGTGAGAACTTTTACAGACGTTGGCATCAAGTTGGTATTCTTCTTTGATGGTATGGTGGAGAAGGAGAAGAGAGATGTGTGGGTGAAACGGAGACTCAAGAACAACAGGGAGATTGCCAGGATTTTCCATTATATCAAGACGCACAGGGAACAGCCCAGCAGGAGCATGTTCTTCATCCCCTCGGGGCTGGCCATCTTCACGCGGTTTGCTCTGAAGACGCTGGGTCAGGAAACCCTGTGCTCCTTACAGGAGGCTGACTATGAGGTGGCTTCTTACGGCCTCCAGAACAACTGTCTAGGGATCCTCGGAGAAGACACCGACTACTTAATTTATGACTCCTGTCCCTACTTTTCCATCAGTGAGCTCTGCCTGGACAGCCTCAGCACTGTCATGCTCTGTAGGGAGAAGCTCTGTGCGAGTCTGGGCCTCTGCCTGGCAGACCTTCCCCTTCTGGCCTGCCTGCTGGGCAACGACGTCGTCCCGGAAGGCATGTTTGAAACCTTTCGGTACAAGTGCTTGTCCTTCTATACCTCTGTGAAAGAGAACTGTGACAGGAGAGGCAACGTCATCTTAGCTGTAGCAGACCACATAGCTAAAGTCCTTCGCTTATATCAAGGTGAGAAAAAGCTGGAAGAGATGTTACCTTTGGGACCAAACAAAGCTCTTTTTTATAAGGGGATGGCATCATATCTTTTACCAGGACAGAAATCTCCATGGATTTCCCCAAAAGCCAAAGCTATAACAACTTTGGACAAGCAGATTATATCCGTGAGTTCAGACCCTGAATCCAAGCAAGGAAGTCCTGAGAGTTCAGACCCTGAATCCAAGCAAGGAAGTCCTGAGAGTACAGATTCTGGATCCAAGCAAGGAAGTCCTGAGAGTACAGATTCTGGATCCAAGCAAGGAAGTCCTGTGTGTACAGACCCTGAATCTAAGCAAGAAAGTCCCATGTGTACAGACCCTGAGTCTAAGCAGGAAGATCCCATGTGTACAGACCCTGAATCCAAGCAGGAAGTTCCCATGTGTACAGACCCTGAATTCAAGGAGGAAGACCCCATGAATATGGAGCCTGAAATCAAGCGACAAGTAACCATGGTTTCAGACACCGAAATCTTAAAGGTAGGTAGATAAGCCCACCATTATCTATGACGGCCTGATGGAAACGCATCCATCAAGGCACTCGTCAGTGAATATTGACCACCTGCAGTAGGTAAGGTGCTGTGGGGACGCAGAATAGGACCCAGGAGTTGAGTTAGGAAGTATGACATAAGCCCTGAAAACTCACATTGTAAACCATATTTTTTTTTTTAAAATATATTTTATTGATTTTTTTTACAGAGAGGAAGGGAGAGAGATAGAGAGTTAGAAATATCGATGAGAGAGAAACATCGATCAGCTGCCTCCTGCACACCTCCCACTGGGGATGTGCCCGCAACCCAGGTACATGCCCCTGACCGGAATCGAACCTGGGACCCTTCAGTCCACAAGCCGACGCTCTATCTACTGAGCCAAACCGGTTTTGGCTGTAAACCATATTTGACATTGTCACATGACTGTTCCAGAAGAGGGCTCTGAAGGAGAGAGATCCCTGTGGGCTAAAGGATAGAGAGAAGCTCCCAGAAGAGGTAGAAGTGGACCCAGACCTCAGTGGAGCTGATGTGCTTCAAGCAGGCACATAGGGAAATGGGTCACTTCTGATGATCTTCAGTTGGCTAGAGTATCAAGTCGTAGCTCTTTAAAATACTTTTTTTTAAAAATCTTAAAGCTGCTAGCCTGTCCTCTGTTGTGATTTAAAGACATTTTAGTGGGGGCTGGCATGAGGTAAAAGGGATTAAAGTGGGGGAAAGGAGGGCATATGTAATACTTTGAACAGTAAAGGTAAAATTTTTAAAAAGACATTTTAACAATGAAATGGACATTTTTTGTAGTCTGTCTAGCCTTATAACAACAGTTGACATTCACTGAGCACACAGGATGTGTCAGCCAGGTGCGTTTCCTGTGTTACCTCAATCCTCAGTAGTTTCGTGAGGTTGCCACTTTTTTTTTAAATTTTGTTTTATTGCTTAGATAGGTTGCCACTTTTATTAAACCTATTTTATATATGAAGAAAGTGAGGAATAAAGAGATTAAGACTTAAGTCTGCATTAATGAATCAACATAACTAGTGTGTATAAGCAGTGAGACAATCGGATTCACCAAGTTTTTGATATTCCAAGTTATCCTGCTGCCACATTTTAAGTGCCGTTAGCTATAGACTATTTAGACTTAAATTCTGGGTAGTAATGTAGATGAATTTTTTCTTGCAGTAATAAGAATGTTCTTCACAGGAAAATACAACTTATATGTAGATTTATAGCTCTTCTGAGTTTAGTTCTTATTTGATCAGAAAGTAGAATCATTTAAATCATCCATCTCTTCACCTGCCTTCAGATTACTGAGCAAAGGAATGAATGTGACCAGCATCTCAGCCCAAGGAGTTTATAGTTTAGTGGGGAGATCACAGGGTCAGTGTGAGGCGAGCCCCGTGAGGAGGGGAGCAGAGGTTTGTTTATGGAGAGGGGCTGGTGAAGTGGGCGCTGGGAGCTCAGGTGCAGGTGGGAGAGGGTGGAGCATTCCTGGGAGCACTGCAGCTGTGCACTGGGACTGGTGATGGCAGGTTCTCTGAGGCCGGAACTGTGTGTGGGTGAAAGGGGTTGAGGCCTTTACTGTAAAGGGGCCTTGACTGTTAGTGGGAAGAACTTGCTTGGAGGAGGGCAGGGGTTGTCCTGCTTGCGGATGATGGTGGTTGAGATAGGTCGGGCACAGCCTTGTCCACCATCCTTACTCTCAGGCGGACAGAGGAAGAGGACCACGCTGCAGAGTCAGCGAGTCTGGCAGGTGCTTGGGGCTGGAGAACAGGGAGCAAGAAAGCTCTCAGCCAGAAGCCCAGAAGACAGGAAACACAGATGCCAGTTTGAGCCTGGGGGACAGTTATTCCTTGCTGTGTGCCTTAAAACACTGGTGTGTGACATAAAGGTGCTGACTTTTTCTGTTTGAACGTCCTTGTGTTTGCAAGGAGAATTCCACTGTGTCTAAACTTTGAGCAGGTTGCTAGAGCCCAGCACGTGCAGGCGGAGAGCTACCTGGTGTACAACATCATGGCCAGTGGGGAGATCGAGTGCAGCAACACCTTGGAGGATGCCCTGGACCAGGCCCTGCCCAGCCAGGCCTTCGTCTACCGCCCGGTGCGGCAGCGTGTGTACTCCCTCCTGCTGGCGGGTGGCCATGGTGAGTCCTCATGACCATGCAGGGCACAGGCGGTTTCTGACACTGGCCACTGAAGACACAGATGCAATTAAACGGGGTTTGTTCCTTGGTGGGGGCTGTGGTGGGATACCACCGACATCCACTTAAAGTGAGGTGGAGGCCATAGGCCTCTGAGTCTACTCAGCCAGCAGTTGCCCACAGTCATTAAAAAAGAGCATTGTGCCCTAGCCGGTTTGGCTCAGTGGATAGAGCATCGGCCTGAGGACTGAAAGGTCCCAGGTTCAATTCCGGTCAAGGGCATGCACCTTGGTTGCGGGCACATCTCCAGTAGGAGGTGTGCAGGAGGCAGTTGATCGATGTTTCTCTCTCATCAATGTTTCTAACTCTCTGTCCATCTCCCTTCCTCTGTAAAAAAAAAAGCATTGTTTCTATGAAATGTTACCTGTTTATGCCTTAGAGGACTGTGCTTTTTCGAATGTGAAAACCCTTTCCTCTGCAGAGAATAGCTGTTTATTATTAGGAGACAGTGTCTACTTACTGTCCCTCAAAATGAGATTTTCATAAAATAATTATATAAAACCTAGTACATCATATATTAAAATATAAACAAAATTTTCCTTTAGGGTATTTGATCTAAGTTTATGTGTCTCCCCATCTTTTTGTCCATTGCGCAATAGCAGCGAGTATAGGGAGAGGACATGAGTGGCCAGGGCAGTAACCTGGGATACCTTCAGTACCGAGGAGTCCATCAGGCCCCAAACCCTCTCTGAGGAATGGTTTCGGGGAGTGAAGGGAGGAGAAGAGCACTTCTAGAGATGCGTGGTGCTTAATGCAGTGGTGCTGTCGCCTCAGTCACCTGAGAGAGGCCGACTGCACCATCCTATCTGACGTGAGGTGATGAGAAAGAAGCTGATTTAAAAACAGAAACAAAAGAACCTATGTAATAAGCTTTGGGGACAAATATTGTTTAATTTGTTTTCTTATATGGGTCTTTCTGAACATGAATGATTACACATTGATGATTTAAAAAGATTTTCATCATGAAAAGAATTTACATTATAGAATAATGTTTGCCTCAAATTATTTTTAGGGTACAGTTGGCCCTTGAACAAAACAATGCAAGGGTCAGTTAGGGGTGTCAACCCCACACTGAGTCAGAAATTCACCTACAACTACATTTGGCCTGCATCCTCAGATTCCTTGAAAAATGGGGGTTTGAACTGCCTGGGTCCACTTACTAAAACTGTATGTACCAGTATGTTATAGTTGGATACATGGCATTTGGATGGCTAGACAGCGCTATGGCCAAATGTGGGAAGAACCTGCAGTCACTCCCCGCTTGGCCCCCCTGGCTTCTGCCATTCTTTCCGGATTCTAACCCTGTCTCTGAGTTTTATCTCCCCACTGAGCACCTTAGCGACGTCACTGAGGAGGTAGGAGAAGCTGCTCCTCCGCATCGCGGTGGCTCACGGTGTTGGCGCAGAGCCCAGGCGAGCAGCAGCCCCTGACGGGATTGGCTCTCCTGTTGCTGGGCACCCTCTCTGCTCCCAGGGGGCTGGGCAGGGCTGCCAGTCTTATGGGCACTCAGCCCTGTGGTACATAGTGTCCAGCAGGCGTGGCACCTTTGCAAAGTACCTGCAGGCCATTCACGCATTGAAATCCTAGATACTGACCTAAAAGGTAACTTTAAAAATAGTAATACATAAAAAAGAATGGAAAGTTATGCTGTTTTTTTAAGGACCATGAGCACACACACACACACACCATTGTAGATTAAACAGCAGTATAAAAACATTACAGAATGCCAAAACCGGTTTGGCTCAGTGGATAGAGCGTCGGCCTGCAGACTGAAAGGTCCCAGGTTCGATTCCGGTCAAGGGCATGTACCTGGGTTGCGGGCATATCCCCAGTGGGAGATGTGCAGGAGGCAGCTGATCGATGTTTCTCTCTCATCGATGTTTCTAACTCTCTATCTCTCTCCCTTCCTCTCTGTAAAAAATCAATAAAATATATTTTTAAAAAAAAAATTACAGAACTACAAGGACATATGCATATGTTTTTAATTTTATTGTGGACAGTATTACAGGTGTCTCCCATTTTCTCTCGTTTGCCCCGCCCCACCCCAGGCCTTTCCCATGCTGTTGTCTGTGTCCTTGGGTTATACAGATCTGTTCTGTGGTTAATCTCTTCCTGTCCCCTCCCCTCAAACCCTCCCTCCGAGATCTGTTATTCTGTTCCAGGCATCCATACCTCTGGACCTATTTTGTTTGTCAGGTTTTTTCTTGTTGTTTTCTTTAGAATCCACTTATAAGTGAGATCATGTGATACTTCTCTTTCTCTGACTGGCTTATTTCGCTTAGCATAATACTCTCCAGGTCCCTCCATGCTGTCTCTAAGGGTAAGAAATCCTTTTTTATAGCTGCATAGTATTTCATGGTATAAATGTACCACAGCTTTTTTACCCACTCATCTAATGATAGGCACTCGGGCTGTTTCCAGATCTTGGCTACTGTAAATAATGCTGCTATGAACATAGGGATGCATATATTCTTTTTGATTGGTGTTTCGGGTTTCTTAGGATATAGTTCCAGAAGTGGGATCACTTGGTCAAACAGAAGATCCATTTTTTAAAATATATTTTATTGATTTTCTACAGAGAGGAAGGGAGAAGGATAGAGAGTTAGAAGCATCGATGAGAGGGAAACATCGATCAGCTGCCTCCTGCACACCCCCTAGTGGGGATGTGCCCGCAACCAAGGTACATGCCCTGGACTGGGATCCAACCTGGGACCCTTTAGTCCGCAGGCCGACGCTCTATCCACTGAGCCAAGCTGGTTAGGGCCAGAAGATCCATTTTTTAATTTTGATGTAAGTCCATACTGTTTTCCACAGTGGCTGCACCAGTCTGCCTTCCCACCAGCAGTGCACGAGGTTCCCACCAGCACTTGTTGTTTGTTGATTTATTGATAGTAGCCATTCTGACAGGTGTGAGGTGATACTTCCTAGGACAAATATATTTTTAAAAAACCTAGAAGATGGTTACAAACTTGACAATCCCAAAAATTGAGAGGTTGAAGTCCACATTGCTTCTTGCTCTCCTTTGCCCCATATGCCCCATATGTGCCCCCAGACCCAGATTGGGAGGGAGTCGGTGCTGGGTGGAGGGAGGGGCACGTGACCTGACAGGTTTCTGAGGGGAGAGGTGGAGTGTGCACAGTCACCCATGCTGCTCCCAGGGAGACATGTCTTGGCTGCGCATGGGTTTGACAGAGCGGCATCATGTGTCGGGGTGACAGGAGCAGGTTTGGGCCTCCCATCTCCATGCGATGGCCAAGCCTGAGGGAGATGAAAACCGCAGAGAGCTTTTCTGAGAGGTCTCCCCTCGCTCATGGACCTCAGAACCCAGCCAGTCGAGTGCCAGGGGGAGAGGCAGCCTTTTCTTTTAGGACTTCTGGGCTGTTTCCTCTTCTCTTTTTCTTGGCATATAGGCATTAAGATGACTTCCATCTTAATTCAGACAAACCAAATTATTTGCAAACATGTCTGCTATAATTTCAAAGTGATGACAGATCAAAACCTCTGAAATGAAGTGGTGCCCCAGAGAATGGCCAAACTCTAGGGTTTTCTAGGAAAATGGGTTTATTGTTACTTGAAGACCTCGGGTAACACTTTGCATCTGGCTCGGGGTTTTGGAGGCGTGGAGCTAGAGCTTTTCTGAGGAGGGTGATCCGGTTAAAAGTGGAAATGGTGCCGTCTGGTTGTTCTGGGTAGGTGAGGACAGTCCGCCCACTGCCAAGCTATCCTGGTGAGTACAGCCTCTGCCCTCACCTTTCGTGGCAGGAGGCACCCTGAGGGTCTGTGCAGCCACCTGACCTGTTCCTGTGACACAGAAGAACCCACAGAGGGGCCTGGTGCTCTTTACCTGCCTCCACCTGAGGACGGGAGGGGAGTGTCTGAGGCTGGGGAGCTCAGCGGGCAGCAGGCTTCAGACAGGAGGAAGCACTACCTCTGCTTGGAAGGGTCCCTAGCAGAGCTGGGTTTGGGGACACTTGGCCCTCACGCATCTACTGACCCACTGTCTTTCCTCAGATGGTGCCAGCTGCCCTCCCGTGCAGGAGTGGTTTGTGTACTCTGGGAACCCGCTAACGCACCCGGACCTCGTGAGGCCTCTGCAGATGAGCCTCCCAGGTACAGACGCCTCGGTCAAGCAGGGCACCGATTGTTCCCCGTGGGGTAGAGTGCAGTCACGGATTCGCCTGGAGATGCATTTTCCAGAACTGCACACGCACTAGTTGCCAGTTCAGTGGGCCCAAAGGAGGGCCTCTGTTGCTCACGTCAGAGGGAGGGCGGCACGGGGACCTGCGTGGCCAGCCTGCTGCTGGGCTCCACTCTGGGTTTCAGACAGAGCCTGTCACCGCCGGACCCCAGCCCGACCCACTGAGCCTACAGGGTTGGGTTCCTGATCCTCTGCACAAACCTGCTCTTCTTCCCGCTGCTGAGAGCGTATTTAAATGCATGGAAAGTTATTTTAACTGGAAAATAAGTTTCTTTTCCACGAGAGGTATCTTCAAACACATAATGAGAGGAAAGGAAAAGCACGTCACCGACAATGAGCTGAAGCGAATGCTTGCTTCCTACACGTTGCAACACCTCTCTGCTGTGTCTTCCTCCTGCCGTTGTTGTGATCCACGTTAACAAGCAAGGGGCTTCTTTCTCTGACGTTAGTGATGGAAATGCGTGCATAACAGACAGACATGAAGCACTAAAAGTTAGATGTTAGGGGTTTACTTCCCAAACCATGGGGCCCAGGGGAGCCATGCACATTATGGCACCACAGCCAGCAGAACGGCCGGGCAGTGTCGGGCTCTGCAGCAGGGCCTGTTGCTCCCTGGAGTTTGGAGGCTGTCGGGTGGGTGGAGAGAGGGACCAGATGAGCTGGTGTCTCAGCCCAGCGCTCCTGAGGGCAGCGCTTGGGAACGGACTCCAGAAAGTGTTCCTGACCCCACGGGCACCACGCAGGGAGGAAGAGAGCCGTGCCCTCGGAACACGGAAGCGCAGTGTCGTCCGGGAAATGCGTGTGCGCGGCCTTCAGACCAGGACTCTGCTGACATTTGCCTCTGGTTCCTCTAAGCTTTAAAGCCCCAGGTGTCAGGAGGGAGAGGCTCGTATCCTTCACTCTGGTACTGTCTTTCTAGACCAGCCGTTCTCAACCTGTGGGTCGCAACCTGTTTGGGGTTGAACGACCCTATCACAGGGGTCGCCTAAGACCATTGGAAAACACATCTATAATTACATATTGTTTTTGTGATTAATCACTGTGCTTTCATTATGTTCAATTTGTAACAATGACATTGGGGGCCACCACAACATGAGGAACTGTGTTAAAGGGTCGCGGCATTAGGAAGGTTGAGAACCACTGCCTTAGAGGAAGCATGTTGCGACTTGCTGGTGCGGACTGATGTAAATGGATCCGTGGACTTTTTATGCAGGGGGAACGCCTAGTTTGAAACTGCTGTGGCTGAACCATGAGCCCGGAACCCAAGCACGGCGTGTAGAGGTGCTCCTCGCCTGTTTCGACCTCTCCTCCTCGAGCGAAGAGCTGCAGGCTGTGGAGAGCCCCTTTCAAGGGCTGTGCTGCCTCCTCGCCTACCTGTTTGTGCAGGTAACCTGGGCTCCTTGTTGTGGCGTCTGTCTCATGTGAGTGGCAGCACTCGGTGCAGCCAGGCGGTGGCTGCATCCCTCTGTCCAGTGCTGGTCCTTGAGCACTGGCTCTGCCGGGCCTGCCTTCAGACGCGAGTGCACTCAAGGAGCGGGCTTGGGAAGCCCTGCCTGCCCTTTGGTCTGCGTCCAGAGCTTTAGGACGCGGAGACCCCTTCTGTTGTGTGACTGCTGGGTGGCCCTTCCTGTTCCTGGGCACGGGGTGCGGTAAGGGCCCAGCTCTGTGCCGCTTCAGCTTTCCCAAGTCACAGCCAGCCATTCCTCCTAACAAGTCGAGCGTGTCCCTTCACACTCTAAGCAGAGAACAAAGTAACAGCTTCCTCCTGCGGCTCCTGGGACAATCCCAGGGTAGAAAACATGGGGAGTGCTTTGTCAGCGCGCCTGTGAGAAGGCTGCGCTCGCCGTCCCCGTCGCCATCAGTCCTCAGCCCACTGCACGGGCCAGGCCACCAGTACAGGCACAGCCCCAGGTCCCTGTCAGACCCTTCAGCAGGCTGGACAGCTCCTTCCTCATTCATTTTACACTTAGTTTACATATGAAAATTACAAAAGCCAATGAAAAGATTTGCCTTTTTCAGTTTTCCACATGCACAGCAGTGTCCATCCCCAGCCCCACCTCCCTGCCCCAACTGTCCTACTTTACATTCACTTCTGTCTCCTTGTCCCAACCACAGGAGCAGAGGGTCTGTCTTCAGCCACAGAACTGTCTCATCACCTCCCCTCCAGGCCATCTGTCTTTGGCTCTGATCGTGGGTCTTTTGGGCATAACCATGCATTTTATTTGTCTGGAGTGGGAAGTTGTGTGATTCTGTTTTCAATCTGAATTCACTTCACGTATAGCTGAGTTGCATTTCAGGGACCTCCCCACTTCCTGGCCTCAGTGCCCGCGGTGGTGTCCCTGGAATAGCGAGGTCCTGACGGTCACTCACAGGATCATTATTGCCCTCGTCAGTCTGCTAAGAAGGTGCACTTGTAGAATTCTCACACTTCCATGTAGCTGTGCTCAATTAGATGCTTTTGGGTGTGATTTGGGATAAAAGTCCATTCTGTTCAGTGTGCAGTCCTGCACAGAAACTAGTCTGGGAAGAGCCTCCGGGAGGGCACGTGCATTGCAGAGAGGGCGCTTAACCCTCCGCTAGCAGAGCCGGTGCTCTCCCTGTGACGCTCTGCAGTGTCCTGTCACTAGGAGTTTGCAGTGTGGCCTTGTCCGCTGTAACTGGTGGCCGGGTGTGGGCGGTGAGAAAGCAGGGCCGGAGCAGTGCCCAAGGGCCCTCTTTAAACCACCTTCAAACGTGGCTCAGGGCAGGAGGTGGCGTCACCTGCCAACAGGCCCAGGTGACACGCAGAGGCAGGTTGTGGCTTTGAAACTACTTCCTCTGCTGGGACCTGCGTCTGCGGAGGGGGCTCTTTTTTCTTGGTCACGAGAACCACTCCTTTGTAGACGGTGTTTTCCCCTGAGATAAGCAAGTTGTTATTTACACAAAGGCAACAACTACTTTGGAGTGAAAAAGGAATAGGGAGGTGATGGTGGGTCGGAATGTTCAGAGCTTAGCAGCGTCAGTCTCCCCTCGCCGGGACTTCCCGCAGGGTGCACGTCCTGTTTGGAGCTCCCGGGTCCCTCTGAGGGGGTCACTCAGCTGGTCCCAGTCCTTTTCCTCCCTTGAGTAGGAGGCCCATGGAGTCTGCGTCCATCATGGCTCTTGGGTCCCCTCCCTGCCTCCCTGCCTGGCTCTTCTCTACATCTCTGCCTCCTTGTTTCTCCCTCATGCTCTTCCTAGAGCTTTCATTGCATGAAGGATTGGCAGGGACTCATATTTTGGGGGTCCTGATTTCCTTTAAATTGTGGTTCGAAGACACAGCTTCCCCTGGGGCTGCTGAGGGTGGGTTCTCATCTTGGCCCTAGCCGCCCAGTGAGGCCATATCCTCCGTGTGACCCTGTCTTGTCCGCAGGCGCTCGGTCCAGCGTGGCCTGGGCAGTGGGAGAGAGGCCCTACTCACTTCCCCTTGCGTCTCCTCCGCTGCTTGAGATCTGAACACCGTGTGCCTGTAGCCAGTCCTTGCGACCGTGTCCGGAAGAGCTAACGCTGGCTCTCCTTCCCTCGCAGGTGGACACACTGTGCTTGGAGGACCTGCACGCTTTCATCGCTCAGGCCCTGTGCCTCCCAGGGAAGTCAGCTGGGCATCTCGCAGACGTACAGGTACTGGCCCCGGGGACTGTCTCCGTGCTGAGGACACCTGGCTGTGGTCGGGACCCAGCGACGTTAAACAGCCAAGCAGAGTAGAAAGAGCTCAGGGCACCATGCCCTCTCCTGCTCTGTTTACAGGTGGGGAACTGAGGTGGAGTGGGAGGCTGAACGCAGCTTCTCATGAAATGAAGGGGACGTTGACGCCAAGTGGGACTTTGTTGTCTATTGACACTGGGTCGCCTCCCACCACCCTGTTATTGGCGGAGTTGAAGTGGATTCAGGGCCCTCATGTCCAGCCAGCTTCTTGCTTCCCTTTCCATGAGAAAGACCCTGTGCCCAGGAGTAAGGCGGTTTGGGAAAATGCCCTGGACAGCAGGCTGAGGGAACCTGTGAGTGAGGGAAGGTGTTCTAATTTAAAGGAAGAAAAGCCAGCTCTCTGTGGTGATGCTGAAAGGGCAGCCACAGGTGAGGAGGCGCTGGTCTCACCGACATAGCACAAGGAGGAGCTGAGCAGGCCCGGGCTCCTCTCCAGGGGTGCTCAGTGCTCTGACGTGGCTTTTCCTGGACCAGCTGCAGCTGTCCGTGGTGTTCAGCCGACAGCTCCAGAGCACGGAGCGTGTTCCTTGTTCTGTAAGGGTTCCCCGTGCCTCATGCCGCCCGAGTAGAGACACGCGGAGGGAGATGGGATTTAGGGTAGAATCTGCAGAGTTAGGAGGGAAAGTCATCAAAGTAACAGACTTAACTAGAGAGCACACGTAGCTCCCGGGGTCCCCCTTTTTAAGCAGCAAGACCATCCCACCCTCTACTCCCCCCACTGGCTTTGACTCCAGCCTTCTTCCAGACGGAAGTTCTCCTTTCAGAATGAAAAAATCAAGAGGACAGACAGACGCAGCTAAGCAGGTGGTCAGCCTCTGCCCTCACGCACGCTCCTGAAAAGCTCTCTGCAGACAACTCGGCCAGACCCAGGAAGCTGAGGAGTAGCCCCAGGACACAAGGGCCAGACCTGTACCCGCCGACCTTGGTGCCTGCCGTCCTCAGCGCACGCCCAGCAAGGCTTGGGTAGTTTCCCTGAGGGCCGTCTTCGACGGCTGTGCCACTGCCACCCGGAGGCCCTGCTGCAGCAGCTTCCATGTGGAACCTGCAACATCGGACCAGGCCTTTTGGACCAGAAAGGTGACCTCAGAGCCTCCGACTTTAACGCTGTGGCCTGTGAAAGTCCCCACGTGGCTTCGATGAGGAGATTTCTGTCTGATAAGCAGCTGGAGCTCGGGCCTGCTCAGCCAGGTCCCCACAGCCCCGCTTCTCCACTGGTGTCAGCCGTCGTCAGCCGCTCGGTGTGGGTCTCTTCCTGAGCGGCTTGTTGAGGAGGAAAGCAAAGCTTATTTTCCAAAACCTGACCTCGTAATTAGAAAAACGAAACAAGGCAAATGTGGCTGAGAAATACTTTTCTGGGGAGAAGGTATTCTGGAAAATGAAAATATATAACCACACCGGTTTTAACCACACAGGAGCCTCGCCTGCAGACATAGGGAAGCTCAGGAGAGCACCCTGGACATGCGGGTGGTTCTGGGGTGAGCGCAGCGCTGCTGCTGGTGGTGTGGCCGGTGTAGAGCTGGAGGACAGCCGAGGGCCAGGCCCGGTGCCCGCCTGTCTACCACGCCCAGTGTGCCCACCGCCTCTGCTAGGTCCCACCTTGTACAGAGGAAAGCCATGCTAGGAATCGGAGGTGCTGGTGCTGCCCCTCCCGTCCCGAGGTGGCAGAGCTGGGCCCACGTTCTCTGCAGCCCTGACACCTGCCCGAGACCAGATCGTGCATCCCTTTCCCACTTGGGACTCCTGGGGCAGCGAGAAGCCTGCAGCGGGAACACTGTGTGGCAGGGGCTGTGGTTCTGCCGCAGGGGGTAGGGTGGCGGCTCTGAAGGCTGCCCAGTGCTGCTTCCTGTGCCAGAGCTGACGGGTGCCGCCTGGTCAGGTCACTTGCTGTTGACTCACCGAGGCTTTATGTTCACTGAAGATCTCTAAGAGCAAACACTGTCTGTCACTTAGGTTCGTTGTTTCTCAAGAACAAACTTTCCAGTTTAAAAACCAGTGTCATCTCCCCCTTGATAGGAGCCTGCCTGTGGAGAGCTGCTGAGGCCAGAGGGCCTGGGCACAGGTGGCCCCGCCCCGCCCCGGGTTACCCGGCTTGCGGAGCCCATCTCCCTCTTCAGCAGGGAGGGAGCTTGACCTTGAACAGGCTTTAGAGGACATCAGCAGGCCATGGTTTTAGGACAATTTGGAAAGCAGTCCTGGACAGCAGATGCCTTTTTACTCATCCTTAGATCGCCCGGTAATCCCGGCTTATGGTGAATTTCCCAAGATCAGGTATTTTTTATGTTGGTCAGTGAAGTGAAACCTTACTTACGAAGGGGATAAAGTGTCACACTCCTGACTTATTCTGGTTTTGTGACTGAATTAGACAGGCAGTGACGTCCAGGGGGCAGCTGCTGAACTTGAGTTCCTCGGCGGCTGAGCAGACGTGCACACGGCCGGAACCATGGACGCCTGCTGGGTGGCGGTGACCTGTGTGCCACACAGGCCAGAGGGAGGCGAAGGCTGTCACCCAGCAGGTCCCCCCCGGTGGCAGGTTAGCTCTGTCTCAGGGCAGTCAGGATGTTTCCCATCAGGGAGACTCGCCAGCAACAAGATACTTTGTGTTGGGAAGGTCATCTTAATTGTAAAAGTTGTCAGCCCCTCAACCCTGTAAGCCATTGTGTCCTCAGTGATAAGTATTTGTTTAAAACGGTGTTTTTTGTAATCACACTCGTGGTTAGAACCGAGGGTCCCGTTTCCGTCACAGGGAGCCCGTCGGCACCTACATGAGGCTCTGGGCGCAGGGTGCACTCCAGAGCGTGCCCGAGGCTCAGCTTTGCGGGGGAAGGGGCCGCTCGCAGGGCATCTGGGCGGGCGGGCGTGTGACGTGGGTGTGTGGGCTCTTCCACAGGCCCCTGCCTCCGAGCCTCGGTCCCGAGTGGTGCGGCTGTGTTGTGAGCACAGGCTCGGGTCTGTCCCCAGGTGGGCTGCGTGTCACCTCCTCTGTGGTCTGGTCTCCACAGCTCGATCGCGTGGACCCCAGAGCCGTGCAACTGGGCTCCCTCCTGGTCCGCGGCCTGACCATGCTACTGCTGGTCAACAGCGCGTGCGGCTTCCCCTGGAGCACGAGTGACCTCATGCCTTGGAACGTCTTTGACGGGAAGCTGTTTCACGAGAAGTACCTGCAGACTGAGAAGGGATACACGGTGGAGGCCCTCGTGGAGCAGAACGTGAGTTCCGGTTGTCCCACAGGCTGGGCCAGTGGCTCGTGAAACTCCCAAGTCCGTGGCCTGGCACAGGGAGGTCAGTGCTGTGTCCTCACGCCCCTGATGTGAGGGCGGGCACAGAGACCCCAGCGCAGGCCCAGAGCCGCAGACACACTGCCTGGCGCTCAGGAGCTAGAGCATCCAGTTTCCGTCACGTCTCCTGGCCTAGGACCCCAGACGTCTAGGGGTGGTGGGGGGGGGGGGGGCAACGTGCGCCCGCAGCTCCCACTGGGTCCCCCCTCGTGTACAGTGGCGAAAGCAAGCCTTCCTGGGAAGCAGAATTAAAAGCATCCCTGAGGTGCTGGTGCTGCCCCTCCCGTCCTGAGGTGGCAGAGCTGGGCCGCTCCTGTTTAACTCTCAGGCGCTTACCTCCGCCCCCCTTTCGTGCGAGAACAGATGTTTCCTGCAGAGGTGCCTCTGTGGACGCCAGGCAGGAGTCGTGGCCCCTTACTACCTAGAAAGATTCTGAGGCTGGAGGGGAGGTTGGGGTGCAGGCTGCAGTCCGGCCTCATGAGTGCAAAGCATGTGATTCCTGGAAGGTCTCCTACGAGGCTCGGCCAGGCTCGCATGCGCCTGGCAGGGAGGAGACTCGGAGCTCCCGTGGTCGTGTCTCACGCATGGCGGGGCGTCCCGGGAATTTAAGTTCAGAAGTTAGAAGCCGCCAGAACGTCAAGTGTGGACGACAGGAGCAGGGAAGAGGTTGCTCCCACGGGGCTGGTTACCGCAGCAGGGACGAGGGGCGGAGCTGCGAGTCTGCACCATGAGTCTGTCTGCTCTCTAGCATCTCGACCCCGTGCAGAGTGGCTGAGTGCACAGCCTCTGGCTTAGAACAGGCGGCAGGACGGGGTGTTCGTGAAGTGGGCTGAGAGACGGGGGTTCATTCCTCCGTCAGCTGCTCGCACATGTGCATTCGTACCACTTCGGCGGACAGACTTTGAGGTCAGTTTCTGGTGGGTGACCGAGGTGTCACAGCGGGACGTGAAGGTGTTTAGGGTGTGTCTGACCTGCAGAAGAGAAGACATCACTGCTGGTTACTATTGGGACTTGGGAGAGCGGCCAGGTCAGAGGCCGAGGGACGTCCCGCAGTGTCCCCAGCCCGCGTGTCTGACGCTGGTCTGTTTGCAGAGGGCGCGGCTCACCCAGTTCCACCAGCTGAAGTCCGTGGTGTGCAAGGCCTGCCTGCGGGAGGACCGGCGCATCGCCAGCCGGCAGCTCTGGCAGCCACTCCACTCAGGTGGGTCGCCGCAGGTCTCAGGAGGAAGGCCGGGCTGAGGCCTGGCTTTGACTTCGGTTCCATTAGGAAAGAGCATGTCGAAGGGTTCCTTGGTGAATTCGTGACTCAGAGCTGCTTTGGGTGGGAGCCCTTCTGGGGTCTGGGGCACAGGCCCTGCTGGGCGGCGTGTGCTTGACACGAGTTTATACTTCCCCACACTGAGCGTCACGCAGCAAAAGCAGATGCAGAGAAGACAGTTAAACAGGAAACAGTAACTTGAATCACGTAGCTGTCGGTGGCTGTGGACCGTCACGCGTTTTGCGGTACCTGTGCTCCCATCTCTGTGCTGTTCTCTGCGGCTGGTGTCCCCTCAGCACCGGCCAGCAGCGTGGGCGCATATCGCCAGCAGCAGAGTTGGCTCCACCCACTGAGCTCCCCCACCTCAGCTCTGAGGTTGCTTTCATTTCTCATTATACATCGTACTTGTATCTGGTCTTTTCCGTAGGGTAGAGTACGATAGTTTTTACAGAATTATAGATCAACATGTAATTGGATTTTGGGTCAATGTTACTAACCTCCGCCAGCAGCGGTGGAGAGCTCTAGCTTGTGTGCCCTCACTGACCGATAGGGGGAGGAGGCAGAGCATCCTCTGGCCGCTCAGTGTCTACCAGTGGATGGGCCACTTGTTCGTCAGCGGATCTCAGTGATTTCGTGGCCTCGTTTCGTCAGCATCCACGCCTGTGGCTAGAGCAGCCTCTTCTTTCTCGGCGGATAAGAACCCACCGCAGCCTCCTCCCCAGTGGGCTGTCCTTGTTCTGCTTGGCACAGCCTTGCACACATCCTTCCTACAGCCATTGTGTTACAAGGTCAGGGCAGCACCTGGGGGCACGTCCAGCTCCTACCAGGTGCCGTGTGGGATCTGATGTAGGGCAGAGCCTGGGGAGTAAAGGGACTGAGGGCAACAAGGACGGGTCAGGGCAGGGGGCAGCTCTGACCTCACCCTCCTCTCCCGGGTGAGCCTTCTCCTACCAGCACAGGCAGGCTGCCCTCGGGCGTCCCGGGATGCAGGGCTCTGCCCAGTGAGGTGGCCGCTAGGGGAGCCTCTGCATGTGCGGAGCCTAGTCATGCTAGCAGGCACCTTCTTCTGTGGGTCCTTGTGAAACCCCACATTTCTAACACGTACGTCGGGTCTCGTCAGCCCTCCCGTGTTAAAGTCTGGTTGGGACAGATGGCGAGGAGCTGGGGGAGGAGTGGGGGTAGGTGAGGATGTGTGTCTGGAGCATTGGGTCTGGTGACCGAGGCCCTACACTGGTCCTCACAGATGCAGGTCCTCATGGGCGCGTGCCCTCCGTCTGCTCCCGTCACCAGCACAGGCCCCGGGGCACACGTCCAACCACAGGCCTCCGTCCCCCCAGCACTGGCACAGGGCCCCCCGTCTGCGTTTTCACGGGCTCTCCCTTTGATAGTAAAGACACAGAAGTTGGACACTGCTGCCCCTGCTCCAGGCCTGCACGTGGCGTGTCATGGGTCAGGCATTGGTGCCTGCTCACGTCCTGGTGTCCCCACAGGGAGGCGGGGAAGACCGGGATCTGGCGCCCATAGGACAAGCTTCGGAAACAGCCGGTCAGACCAAGGACAGCACTGGAGAGAGCAGGGCCCAGGTAAGAGGGCGCTGCCCGCACGGCTCGGTCAGTGCCGCCCACAGTGTCAGTGCCTGCGTTAGAGACAGGTGTGCTTGCCAGGGAGCGGTAGGTGGGCACACAAGAGCCCTGCGCACTGCACAGTGAGGCAGGGGTAGGTCCTCACCTGCACAAGCTGGTCTGTCTGTTCCTGGTCAGTTTTGTACCTGTCATTCACCTGGTCAGGGCCCCAGACCTGCAGACCTCGTCACCTTGCAGGGAAGGTGTCGGGCAGCCCAGGTCCTGGGCCTCTGGCTGAGGCTCAATGCACCTGCTTGCCTGCCGGGAGCCAGTCCATCCTTGCTGTTTCAAGGGACCTGGCGTATATGGCATACTGTTCTTAATATGTTTGCTCACCTTCTTGGCACTATGTGTTTTAACCAAGGTCACCTCTCTGAGAAAGGTTGTTTCCCCAGGTAGGGATTTTCCCCTGAAGTTAGGGAGGGAATAAAACCTCTTAACTAAGTGCCAGGCGGGTAATTAATCACTTTAACTATGAACAATCATGCTTAAGCTACATAATCTTTACTCCCTGGAATGGAGATGAGAAACGCCCTAACCTTTGGAATAGAGATTGATAGGATTGGAATCAACTGGTATAAATACAGATGTAACAAGACAACAGGACACAGAACCTAGACACAGAACCTACACAGAAGCTAGAGACAGAAGAACTTCGCTGGAGAGAACATGGCAAAAGATCCTGGACAGAAACTGGAGACAGAACCTAGAGACAGAACCTAGCAAGAGAACATGGCAAAAGAACCTGGATAGAACCTAGACAGAACCTGGCAACTGAACCTGGCTACAGAATCTGGCGACCGAACCTGGCTGGAGAACCTGGACAGAACCTGGCTGGAGAACCTAGCAAGGGAACATGGCTACAGAACCTGGCTGGAGAACCTGGAGAACCTGGCTGGAGAACCTAGCAAGAGAACATGGACACAGAACCTGGCTGGAGATCCTAGCCAGAACTTGGCTGGAGATCCTGGCTAGAGATCCTGGCGAGGCTGCTGATCAACTGAATGCTGTCTCCGTGTCATTCCTTCTTCGCCGACTCCAGCCACACCTTTGGGGACCCCTGGACCTGCTGGGGTTGGACCCCAGCACTTGCCCAGGACAGCAGAGCCCGAGCGCCTGACGGGAGACCCAGGCTGGCCAGTCTGGAGTCAGGGGCCACATCTCTCCCTCAGAACCCACCTCTTCTCCATCTTCCGCTCCGTGTCCCCCACACGTGGCGAGGTGTGGCAGCCACACTGACCCTGGCTGGGGCTGTCATTTCCCTCTCCTCTGGGCCTTAGGAAGTCAGGGAGGACGAGATAATGCCAGGTCCGGGTGGAGAGGGCTGCAGGCGAGGATGGGCCTGGAGTGGGCAGGCCACGCGTTCGCGTGGACACCACCTCTGGGCACGGGGTTCCTACGCGTACTTGTGCAGCATCTGTGCCCCCTTGAGTTCGCCCAGCTTCCTTCGGTGCCCAGCCTGGGGCACGCTGTGGTTCTCTGGTTCTGCTCTTTCATGATGGAAAAGAAACACTTAGGAATGAAAACAGCCCATTTAACATCAGCTGTGATTGAAAAATAAAACTTGAGTATGAACAGTTTGCATGTGGCCCAGGCCAGGCGGAGGTGCCTCCAGGCCCCTGTGTTTGCAGCCTCTCAGAATAAGAGGCATTCCACCCCCTCCCCAGGCAGTCAGGGTTTCCATGGAGACACAGCCTCAGCCTGTGCTGCGTGGGCGGCATCCTGGGCCCAGAGGACCGTGGGTACTGCAAGCGCAGTGACCATGTCCTCCAGGTCTTTCCCGAAGTGTTTTCACTGTTAGCTTCCTGGCTTTTCCCTTCATAGTTAGAAGCTGAACTGTTTCAGTAGAGTTTTTTTTTTTTTTTTAATATATTTTTATTGATTTCAGAGAAGGGGGAGAGAGAGAGAGGGAGAGAAACATCAATGATGAGAGAGAATCATAGATCGGCTGCCGTCTGCATGCCTCCTACTGGGGATCGAGCCTGCAACCAAGGCATGTGCCCTTTACCAGGAATTGAACCTGAGTCCCTTCAGTCTGCAGGCCAACGCTCTGTCCACTGAGCCACACCAGCAAGGGCTCAGTAGAGTTTTTTCTATTAAAAAACAACCAATGTTGTACTGAAATAGCCAGGATGAAGCCATGTTTTAAAAAATCAGTAAAGCAACCTGACCGTGGTGCTGGCCTGGTCACCCTGGCCATCACTGCCCGCCCACAGAGGCCATGCATGAGCACCCAGCCTGCCCACGGCACCATCACCTGGGGAAAGCTGTCTGTCCTTGCCACACTCCTTCAGCCCCCGCTCTTAGCTCCCACTATGTTCAGTGCCAACCTCCTGCGGGTGCCGTGTGCATGTCATAGGATCTGGGCACGAGGAGTCCAACTCCAGCAGAGCTGGGCCAGCTCTGTTGTGTGTCCTTCCCTGGCCGAGTGTGAGGCTGGGTACTGGCCCGGGGAGACCGTGGCTGCAGGCAGTGTGCGGGGTGCAAGCGGACACCCAGGTGGCACATACAGGGGGTTGTATTGCTCACTGCATGTGGCAGTGCCCATATGTTTTCTAACTTTAGGGGTTTCTATGTGAAACGTGTTTTGTGTGCACACACAGTCTCGTATTGTGACCAGGACATTTTTTTTCAGGTCGGGTAATCCAGTTTTTCAGTTTTAATCGCCGTGATTGAATTACATCTTTACTCGGCCAGCATGTTTTTGCTGGGTTTTGTCTCCTTTTGGCCACACGGGAAGTCCCAGGGCTCCTCCTGCCTGGGAAGCTCTGCAGGGCGGAGAGGGCAGGGAGGGGACAGGGAGGTGCGGGCATCAAAGCTCCAGAGCCTTTTAACCTCCTTGCTGGTGTGAGGGATGAGGTGTGAAATTCCACAGTCAGCAGCTACCAATTGGCTTGTGATTTCTTCGGGTTGTCATTCTCTGGGTGCTTCTGAGGGAGGCGGCTGCTGTAAAACTGCCTCTGATCCCCTGGGATAACAAGGGCGGGGCCAGGCCCCAGCCCAGAGCCTCACACTTTGGAGAGGCGAGAGCAACAAAGACCCCTGGCCCTCCTGGGGCGTCATCACCTCAGGAGCCTGGCAGATTGTGTGGGAAAAGCATGAACTGTTGAGTGTGGGACGGATCACCTGTGGCTGCCGTGTCAGGGGAAGGCAGATGGGCAGCCGCACCAGACGGGCACCCTGGGCCCTGCTGTAGAAAGAGCTCCGTGCTGTCTTCCCTGGACTTGACAGGATGTTCCCGTGGGCATCTCCCTGGGAAGCTCCAGTGGGGGGGGAGCGGGGGGGTGCCTGGTGTTGGGAGCGGCACTGACGCTCACTTTCCATGCGAGGCTGCCTCCATCGCCATCATGGAGTCAGTGTGGGCGAAAGTCCAGTGCCAGGCGGGCCCAGGGGAGCCGAGCCGAGCCCCAGATGCCCTCGCATTGCCTGGCGCCTGCTTAGAGATGGTGGTTTCTCCCGTGTGCACCTTAGACAGATTCCATTCTCACTGCGGTTTCCTGTCTGTGCAGGAAGCAGACAGCAGGAGCCGGACCCGTGGAGAAGGGGCTCCTCCTCTGGGTAAGTCACCCCTTCCGTCCTCAGAGTGCGCCGTCCACCAGGCACCGACGTGAGACACACAGCCACAGCATAGGCCACGCCAGGGGCCAGACGTGAAAGGGAGCCAGGTGTCAGGTCCTGCGGACAGGCCCCTCCCTAAGCTGACTTGGTTTCCAGAAAAGTCTTTTTTCTCTAGAAAAAGGTTGGTGAGAACAGATGGTGAGTCTGGACTTGAAACCCTGGCAGCACCTTCCTTGTCATCGGAGCCATGGCTGTTCTGCCTGGAGGGGACGGGCTCGGGGTCCAGGCCTCGCTTTCCGCAGGGAGGGAGGGAGGGAGGGCATCCTGCCCAGCTCCTCCGCAGGCCCGTGGGGAGCCTGTGGGCTGGTGCTCAGAGGTGTCGCTCCCTCCCATCCCAGCACCCCTGGACCTGTGTCCTCTCTCAGATTCTGACCACAGTCCTCACAGGTCACGCTCCCAACTGTCTGCTTGGGTCCTCGCTTCCTCCCTTCACTTCACTGGGAGTGTGTGCTGTCGGGCGTGTGCCGACGGGCGGGTCTCGGCCCAGGCTGCAGGCCTCCAGCAGGGGTTCCCTCTTGGAGAGGAGGGCGCAGTGAGTGTCAGGAGCCTGATCGGGGTGTCTGCTGCTCTTGGTCGTTGGGCCCTGGAGAGCCCTTAGCATTCAAGACATTTAAAAGGAGCCGAGTCCCAAGCAGTCCCCGCTGACAGGCTTTCCAGGAAACCCCAGAGGTGGCATGCTGAGCCGGGTGACCTCTGGAGCCTTGGTAACGACTAGAAGTTGAAAGCCAGGCCCTTCGCAGCAGCCATGGCCTAAACCTGGGGGAGGGGTGACTGCCTGACTGACCCCCAGCTCCCAGAAGGACTCCTGCACGGCCCCCCCACCCCCCGCCCCGGCTGCCCTCCTCCAAGCAAGAGCCCTGCAGGCAGCTCAGGGCGTGGAGCCCCGGCCTGTCTTGTCCTGAACCCCGACCTGGCATTTCCCGGACGTGGGTGCCGTCTCCAGGGGTGTCATGCGTCTGTGTTTCTGACGTGTGAAGTAGCCTCGCTTCCTGCAGCTCCTCTGTACGGATGGTAGCAGATCTGGCTGCTCTTCAGGCATGTCTGGTAGGACCTACAACCTGATTTCCCAGGTTTGGAAATACCCTCTTTTCATTTCTCTCAGGGGTGCTTTCTGTCTAAATCCTAACGTTTTGTTCCTTTTGTTTCTGCTGCCTCAAAGTGTCTTTTTGCTGCTCATTTGTACACTTTGAAGTAAGCTCTCGGCCCCTAGATGTCGGTCGGCCCCAGGATGAGCCTCTTCCTTCCTCACAGCTCAGGTCTCTCGGGTCAGGGAGCTGTCTGTGCCGTCAGCAAGCGTAGCTGTTGGCCGAGGGGAGGTGGGGGCGTGTCTGCACTCGTTTCCAGTGTTTGGTCGCTCCCCAGTGGAGGTGAGGACTGAAAATAAATAAATAAAGCAAGTGATGTGCAGAGGCCACAGCTAGAGCGTCATGTTCAACATGGAAAGGTGGGAAACGTCCTCCAAGGAGTAAGACGGGTGCCAGCTCTCACCAGTTCTAGTCGCCATTGTTCTGGAAGTTCTAACCAGAGCAATGGGGCAGTGAAAATAAACAAAAGGCATTCACAGTGCAAGGAGAGGCAGTGTCTCTGTTTTTAGATGACATGACCTCACATATAGAAAATCCTAAGGACGCCCCCCAAAACTGTCAGAACTACTAAATGAATTCAGTAAAGTTGCAGGATACAAAACCAACATACAAACACCAATTGCGTTTCTATACACTAATAAAAGACTCAAAAAAAAGACTAAGAAAAACAATCCTATTTACAATAGCATCCAAAAGAACAAAATACTTAGAAGTAATGCTACTGAGGAGGTGAAAGATCTGTGCGCGGAGAACTGCAACCGGGAGGCGACACCTGTAAGTGGGAAGCTATCTCATGCTCATGGCAGGAAGAATTAATATTGTCCAAGTGCCCATGCTGCCCAAAGCAATCCACTGATTTAGTCACAGTCCTATCAAAATTCCAGTGGCCTTTTTCACAGAAATAGAACCAAAAAGAGGTGGTGCTGGAATGAAAAATCCACTTGGGCTCAAAGACAGGTCTCAGCAGCCAGGAAAACCCACTCGGAGACGGGGCAGTGGTTGAACCAGAGAAACAGGCGAGGAAGGACTGAGCAGAGGGGCGCGTGCTGCCCTCACGCAGACACACGCTGTTGCAGAGCGAGGAGGAGAGACTCTCCCAGGAAACACTGGCAGGAGAGTCCCCAAGGCCGGGGCGGCACGGAGCACTGGGCCACGTGTCGCAGCCTTGAGAGCACCTGGTGAGTGAGGCCAGGCCAGGTGAGCACGGCTGGACACGTGAAGCATGGCATTTGGGAAGGGGATCTGAAGGCGGGAGACTGCAGCTCCTGCCGGTCAGGCAGTGGGTGCTTCTGGGAGACCTTCTCCAGCCTCGGGTTCAGATCCACAGGTCAGCTGCTGTGTGCACACCCCCCCACACACAGCTACACACACAACACATACCCCCACACACACACATATAGCCACACACCCCTACATACACACCCCTACACACACCCTAGGTTGGGCCATGTCGGAGCTGCAGCTGACAGTCCCCTCACTTCCTCAGGCACCCCCCTCCCTTGGGGACTTGCCCCCCAGGGGCCGCGGGGAGGTGTGGCCTCACTGCCCCAGGCTGGCTGAGGTGCAGGCACTCACACCATGAATCCCTGTGTTGCAGGTGGTCCAACTGACCTTCTGCAGGACCCCAGGCCCTCTCGGCTGGAGACATCCCTTCAGACTTGGACGTGTGACAGGAAGCAGACACATCCTGCTTAGGGACCCTTGGGCACCGAGGTTCTCACATCACCAGCACTCGGCACCGGGGACAAAGCTGTTCTGGCTCCTTCCCCCGCCAGCGATCAGAGGGGAACTCTGGAACTCGGGTGGACGGCCTGCTGGCGCGTGGCATCCCCGCAGCCTCACCCCACACGGCCTGCCTTTGATGAGGGTGGTTGTATGTGTGAGATGCCACGGGGGTGGTTGCAGGGCAGTCGTTACAGCTGCTGGTCTGACCAGCCTGGAGAGAAACCTGCAGCCACGGGCCACGGATAGGAGTGTCTCCCGCCAGCGGCCTCGGGCTCGCACTGAGGGTAGAGCTGCTGCTCCACAGTGGCTCATCTCAGAGGCGGCCCAGGCCCTGGCTAAGGGCCCTCGTCCTGGTTTACTGGGCACACACAGCATTCTGCTGGATTCCTTGTTCAGATTTGTCAGAAATGCTGTTAGTCGCCTTAGCTGGTTTGGCTCAGTGGACAGAGCATCGGCCTGTGGACGGAAGGATCCTGGGTTCAGTTCCGGTCAAGAGCACGTGCCCGGGTTGTAGGCTCGGTCCCCACTGTGGGGCGTGCAGGAGGCAGCTGATCCATGATTCTCTCTCCATTGTTGATGTTTCTCCCTCTCCCTCTGAAATCAGTAAAAATGTATTTTTAAATAAAAAGAAATGCCATTGGTCACAAGGTTCGCGTTTCCACTGGGGAAGGAGATGCCTGGATTGTGGCCACCGTTTTGCCCAGACCTTGCTCGTGGCCACGAGGGCCCATGAGGCCACGCGTCCCCTGCTTTGTCCGGCACAAGCAGCCCGACTGGGTCTGGCGTCTCCCTGCTGTGCTGTGAGGAAGGTCTGGTGCGTTGCCAAATATAAACAGTGAGAAAGTGTGACCGGCTTGGTTGCTTCTGGTTTTCGTTTGGGCCATTCGCTCACGTTCTAGATCCGAAAAGAACGAGGGTGGCAGTGAGGTCCGGCAGGGTCACCTGTGGCCTGGGCCGCCCCTCCTCCGCTCTGTGCCTCTGGTGGCATCTCCAGTTGACGGGTTTGCTTCTGTGAAGGGTTTTCCAGATGTGTACACTCTTGAGAGGAAAATAGTGGCAATTTCTGTCGATTTGCTACTGTTCTAATGTTACTTAATGTCAAACACACATCAGACCCTCACGCCTACAGCTTCCTCAGCACGGCGTTCTCTCGAAACGTCCGTCCTATGAGTGAAATGAAGGTGGGTCATGGCACAGGTGTGTTGTTGCGCAGCCCCAGGGGCTCCCAGCAGGCTGGCCGCGGCCGGGGTCAAGTCCAGGCCATCGCACGGGACTGGCTGCAGCCCCACTGCAGAAGGGACACATGTGGCCTGAGGGGGGCCAGCATGACGGGGTGCGGGCACAGGGAGGCTGGGAGACCCTGCCTGTGGCACGACCACAGCCCCTCTCGGAAGCCTCCTGCCCGTCTCCCTGTAGGGAAGGGAGTCCCACTGGGGGCGCCCCTCCCTTGAACCCACAGAGCCTCCATGTGGCGCCCGTGCAGGAGGCAGCTGATCCATGATTATACACACGGCACACACACAGGAGGCGCCCCGTGCCTGCCGACTTGGAGCAGCTCCTTCGGGGCTGGTTCTGGGGACTGCGGCCTTGTCTGTGCTGCTTGGGTCTCTGCAGCCAGAACGACTCGGGGTGTGTCCTTGAGGGAAGAGAAGGTGCCGTGTCAGAGCTGACTGCCTCTCATAGCCTCCCGTGTCGCGGCTCAGAACCGAGAGCTACACGCTCATGGTTCTCATCTTAACTGTTTGGGTTTAAAGTTTCAAGCTCTTTCAGCACCTGCCACAGCTCAGGAAGGAAAGCAAGTCGTTTCCCAACTCACAGAGGAAAAGAGACCCCGCAGTAAGAGAGCCTGTGCTGTGTGAGTGTGCGTGTGAGTGAGTGTGTGTGTGTGCGTGTGAGTGTGTGTGTGCATGTGAGTGTGTGTGTGTGCCGTGTGAGTGAGTGTGTGCACCATGTGTATATATCTCTGCCATGTGAGTGTGTGTGTGCGCCGTGTGTGTGTGTGCGCGCCATGTGTATATATCTCTGCCGTGTGTGTGTGCGTGCCGTGTGTATATATCTCTGCTGTGTGTGTGTGTGCCGTGTGAGTGTGTGTGTGTGCCGTGTGTATATATCTCTGCCGTGTGAGTGTGTGTGTGTGTGCCGTGTGAGTGTGTGCACCATGTGTATATATCTCTGCCATGTGAGTGTGTGTGTGCGCCGTGTGTGTGTGTGTGTGCGCGCCGTGTGTATATATCTCTGCCGTGTGTGTGTGCGTGCCGTGTGTATATATCTCTGCTGTGTGTGTGTGCGTGCCGTGTGTATATATCTCTGCCGTGTGTGTGTGCGCGCCGTGTGTATATATCTCTGCCGTGTGTGTGTGCGTGCCGTGTGTATATATCTCTGCCGTGTGTGTGTGCGTGCCGTGTGTATATATCTCTGCTGTGTGTGTGTGTGCCGTGTGAGTGTGTGTGCGTGCCGTGTGTATATATCTCTGCCGTGTGAGTGTGTGTGCGCCGTGTGTGTGTGTGTGCGTGCCGTGTGTATATGTCTCTGCTGTGTGTGTGTGTGCCGTGTGAGTGTGTGCGTGCCGTGTGTATATATCTCTGCCGTGTGAGTGTGTGTGTGCGCCGTGTGTGTGTGTGCGTGCCGTGTGTATATATCTCTGCTGTGTGTGTGTGCCGTGTGAGTGTGTGTGCGTGCCGTGTGTATATATCTCTGCCGTGTGTGTGTGTGTGCTGTGTGTGTGTGTGTGAATGCCATGTGTGTGCCATGTGAATGTGTGTGTGCCGTGTGTGGTGAAATGTCAGCTCTGACCCACAGCTTATTGGTGGGAAGAGCAGGGCCTTCATGTCCCGTGTGCCTGGTTCGGGGGCCCTCCCCGCTGTGTCCTGGGTCGAGCTGACCACCAAGCAGGGCCTCTGTGGAAGGAGCATCTGCACTGCCCTTGGTAAGCGGCAGCTCTTGGGGAGTGCCGGCCTGCACCCCACTGAGTCCTCCTGGAAGCCGGCTGCCCCTGGGGCCTTGCTGCATGTGGTTTTGTTCAGTGGCCGTTGAACGCTGGGGCCTGAGCGCGGCCAGCAGGCTGTGTCCACTGCCGTGGGGAAGGCTGACCCAGCTCTTCTCCGGGCTCCGTCTCCTGAACTTGGACCCTTGTGAAGCTCTGAGCAGAGCCAGACAGGAATGGCCCTGCAGGCTGGCCGCACCCTCGTCCGATAGGATGGACCAGCAGCCCTCGGCGCACACTCCTCTCCTCCCGTGCGAGCCAAGTGCGCAGGGAGGTCCTTCACCCACATCCCTCGCAGCCTGGGAACGCGAGGACTCCCCACGGGAACGGGGCGCGTGCACCTGGGCAGGGAGCATCGCGGCAGAGCAGTCCCGCCGGAGCCCACGCCACCCCATCAGCCTCTCGGCACAAAACCCTTTCTCGGTGGCGACTTCTCATTCGTGTCGTTCTTCATTAGTGCGGCCACACGGGTCTCCCCGGTCTTCAGACTCCTGAGGCTTGGTTTTCCCAGACACCCTCAGCCCTCACCGCGCACTCGTCCACATTCATTGAGCAACTGCCGTGTGCCCGGCGTGTCAGGAACACCGAGGCCTGCGCTGGAGTCGGGGCCGCGTCACCGCTGACCCGGGCGCAGTGACTTGGGACGGTTTGGTGGGAGCAAGTCCCAGGCGTGTGGGCGGCCTTGCTCATGAGAGGCTCAGGTCTCGCTGTGAGCGCTGCTCACTCTGCTCGTGGGCACCTCAGGCAGGCGGCCGGCCGTGACCTCATTTACTGGAGCCCTGTGCTTCTACCCCAGGTGTTAGGGGAAGGACACGGAGCCTCGACTGGTCACTACTGTGCTGTTGGACCTGGAGGCAGCGTCTGAGGCCCCAGCAGCATGGACAGCCCTGGGGGAACGGGGCCCAGGGAACAGGAGGCGGGACGAGCCCTGTTGGCCCAGCTGGGAGGACCGGCTGCCCACCCAGCTCACCCCGAGCGGCTCCCAGGGCCACCCTGCAGGGCCCACCCGTTGGCTGGGTTATCCAGGGGAAAGTGCCCGGAGGCCTGGCCCCGGGGAGGCTGCCCACTGGGGGGGGGGGGGGGGCGGACCAGCCCTGCCCCGCAACTGTGGCAACAGCCTGAGGTGGCGGCAGATCTGGGGCCTCGCAAAAGCTCGGCACAGGCAGCTGCTGTGATTCTGGGGTGACTGGGGTCCCGCCTGCGCCCTAAGCCCAGCACAGCCTGGGGGGTGCGGATGTTCAAGCCCATTTCAAGGGGCCTCACAGGATTCAGAGAATATTTACAAATGAGGAGGCTGCAGCCTCAGAGGGGACCTGAGTCTCTGTGCCTCTGCCCCACCCCCACCCGGACGCCTGAGGAGATGGGGCTCGTCCCACTGGGGGGCTGGGTTTCACCCGGGTGGTAGGGTCTGGGGAAACGCCCTCAGAGCCTGGGCTGGCTTTGTCGCGCGTCCAGCCGAGCCCTGCGCCCTGGGCCATCGCGGGCGCTGAGCAGCCGCTAACCTCCAGCCGGGGCAGCACTGGGAGGCGCAGGGAACGTCAGGTCCCCCGCGAGCTGCCCACCCTCCATCTGTGCCCGTGTCAGGGCTCACGGAGCATATGCTGCCTGTTGCTCACTGACCATCTGCTGCTGAGCTGATGAAGTGTCCCTGTTACCGTGGCGACAGAGCTCTTGATTGGCGGTGGCACCACAAACATTCCCTGCTCAGGTTTCACTTTTATCTGTGCTCTGGAATGGGCTGGGGGAGGGGCTGGGGGAGGGGTTGGGGAAGGGGGGCGGGAGCTGGGGAGGCGTGGGTTTGGGGAAGGGGTGGGGCTGGGGCAGGTGTGGGGGTGAGTTTTCCTCCCCCTCCCGCTCCCCCTCTCCCTCCTCCGCTCCCCTCCCTGCAGCCCCTGAGCAGGTACCGTGGGGGGTTCCTGAGTCAAATCAGTACAGGGCGGGGGGCTTGTTTCTGCCTGGCCTGGGACTCCAGGGGAACCTTCCAGAATTCCAGGCTGGTGTCTGAGGGCTGAGCCTCCGCCCTAGTAAGGCTCCACGGGGCCAGGACATGCCTTGCAGCCTGGAGATCTCTGCCCCCCTTCTCCCCGCAGTTTGAGGAGCTGCTGGGGATGATGGCCAGGCCTGGGCCCGGACCTGGGTCCGTCTTCCTCCCAGGCCCCCAGGAGCCCGTGTCCGCCTGCCCCGAAAGCCTGAAGGGAGTCTGTTGCCCCCGCCGTCCCCAGAGGAGGCAGAGGGCCTCCTGGGTGCTGAGCTACCGGGCAAGTGGCAGAGGCTTATGGTGTTATTTCAGTAAATTAAAGTCTGGCCTTCAAACAGCTCCACGTTAACCAACATGTGCTGGGCACCAAGTGGATTTAAGAGCAAGTCAAACGTGGACTTTTACCAAAAGCAAGACTCCTGCTCATAGACTTAGTATCAACCTCATAGCATGTCTCCCTAATTCCCGTCAGCCCCGTGTGAGGCGCGTCTCCTCGTTACTCAGGTGCAGCCTGGAGGTGATTTCACTTCCTTCCCACAGGACCCCAGCCGCTCCCACGGAAAGCACCAGGTTGCTCAGGAAGCCAGCGGAGACCAGGGACCAGAAAGCCCCCGATGAGTCCGACGCATGAAACGCACGTGCAAATCTAGAGAAACTGACCAAGCAGAGCCCAGCGGTGTGTGCACAGGATTATGTTCCGTGCCTCATTTTTTCCAGCAAAGGTGATATGGCTGTGGATATAAATCACCACGTCCTAGAGCCAGGAGAAGAGTCATCTGCTCGTCCCTGTAGGTTCTGACGAGCCCTGGGCGACGGGGAACACCACACTGCTTTTGAGATGCTCCTGGTGACGGGGGTCATGCTGCGCCCACGTCTCTGCCCTGGCGGCCAGCCTCACGGGAGCACGCAGGCGTCCCTGCTGGTCTCCGCCGCCTACGCCTTCACCTCCCTGGGCTCTGGCCATGTGATGAGTCTGGAGAAAGAAAAGCGTCCACCAGGGAAGGATGAGCTGGGGGATAATCGTGGATGGATTT